CTCCTTGTCCTTTTCCTCATCCTCCTTCTCTTCCACTTCTTCTCCTCCTTCTCCTCCTCCTCCTTCTTCATCATCTTCTTCTTCAGTTCCTTCTCTTATGCTCCCCAAAACAATCCTTAGGTGGGTCTCCCACACACAGTACCACGCTAGTTTATTTCAGCTGGGTGTTACAAGTTGAGCAACAGTTGTCAATCCATCTCAAGCACCATGCATTAAACTAATGTCAAAGTGGATCAAATATCTAAATATTAAAACAAAAACACTAAATCTACTTGAAGACAAAGTAGGTAGAAATCTTGAAGACCGAGGCATACTCAGAGTTCATGAGCAAAAACAAAACAATAAGGGAAGTTTTCAAACAATCAACAACTGGGATCTCATCTTATTGAAAAGGTTTTGCACATCAAAAGAAAACCATGAAAAGGACTTGACCCAGAGCCCAGGCCTGGCATGTGAGTGAGACCACCTGGAGCCTGCTGGATCCTCATTTGACTCAGGCCTGGTGTGGAACCTTTCAGCAGAACTCCCTGCAAAGAGGCTAGAGGCAAGACCCACCCAGATGATTCAGGAGCAGAACATCTTGCCAGAGTGGCACAGAGGATTCACTTCCAAGGGCTGCAGCAAGAAGTGGAGCACAGCAGCCAGATCCAAGCCACACCCACCTGGAGGAATCGGAACTCCGTAGATCTGGACCTGGTGCTAAGCTAATAACTCTGTCTAAGCTCTACACCAAACATCAGAAGACAGTGGTATACAAAATGACAAAGAGAAGGAACAAAATGCAGTCTCAGTCCCTGAGTTCACCCAGAACAAATGCAGAAGACACTAGCATAGAAGAAATGGGAAAACACACACCTGAAATCCCTGGAATAATAGCGTTGGAAGTAAAGAAACAACTGCAGAAAGGTACAGGGGAAATCAGATCAGAAATAATTTCTGAAGTAAAAAAAGAATTATTAACTATAATCAAAGAAGTACTAAGTGCTTCTAAAGAAGACACAGATAAAAAATAGAGCAGAATATAAAAATGATAGAATCCTTGAATAAGCAATATAGGTAAGAAATAGCATACATGAAGCAGATTCAAAGTGATATACAGGAAATTAAAACCTCAATCACAAGCTGGCAAAACCATTTGTAGGAAAGTGAAAATAGACTTTCAGGCCTTAAAGATGTCATCGCAGCTAGTGAAAAGGTAAAAAATGATCTCTTAAAAACAACTAGAATGCAGGAAAAAAATAATTTTTTTTAGTGAGAAGGAATGAGTCAATACAAATGATATAAAAAATATGGGCAGAAATAATAGCAGAAAACTTCCCAAATATGGGGAAACAATCTGATATTCAGGTAACTGAAGCATATAGAACTCCAAATAGCATCAACCCAGTTAAAACCACACCCAGACATATAATAATCCAGATCCCAGAAATTCAGCACAGGAGCAGTATACTAAAAGCCACTAAAGAAAAGAAACAGATCACATTTAAAGGAAAACCCATCAGAATAACAGCAGATTTCTCTTCACAAGCCATGAAGTCAAGAAGAGCGTGGAACAAAGTATTTCAAGTCTTGCAAGAAAACAAATTCCAACCCAGACTGATATACCCTGCAAAACTCTCTTTCAAGTATAATGGAGAGGTGAAATACTTCCACGGCAAAGAACAACTTAAGAATTTCATGATGACAAAGCTAAGCCTATACAGACTACTAAATGATGTTCTAGAGAGGGAGCAACATGACCACAGCTCCATGAATGAGAAGGGAAAGAACCCACCAAGTAGAGCAAACAATGAAACACAGGAGAATAAGAGGTATACAAAAGTAGTCTTTCAGTTATTCTTTTGTATACAGCAGCAAAATATTTCCATCAGTACACTTTAAAAATGCACTTCCCCTGAACGCTATGGATCATGATTCCATCTGGGTCTACAGGGTGGATTTCAAGTAAATAGCAGTAGCATTGTCCTGCAAATAACACCTGGCCACCAGTGAGTGTCATGGAGAAAGACAGACAGAGAGAGAGAGAGAGAGAGAGAGAGAGAGAGAGAGAGAGAGAGAGCAAGCAAGCCATGAAAAACTTATGAACTGGGAGAAAGGAAACCCATGCATTGTGAAAAAATTTATCCAACTGGCCCATAGACAAAGAACTACTATCTAGAACATGTAAAGAATGTAAAAAGAATCAGGTCCCCCAAATTCAAAGACCCAATCCAGAAATGGGCATCTGAGATGAATACATATTTCTCAGATGAAGAAACACAAAGAAAATTAGATATGTAAAAATGTTCAACATGTTTGGTCATTTTCAACTGAGATTATATCTCACCCCAGAAAGAATGGCTGTCATCAAGTCAACCAATAACAAATGCTGGATGTGCTGTGGGGGAAAGGAACCGTGCTTCACTGTTGCTGGGAATGCACACTGGTACAACCACTATTGAAATAATTGTGGCGATTCCTCAAAATCTAGCATTGGACATCCCATCAAGACCATCTATTCCCCTCCTGGGTATTTTTCCAGAAGAATAGAAAATATCTTATCACACAGATATATGTGCCCTTGTATTTGTAGCAGCACAATTTGTAATAGCTAAATCTTGGAAACAAACCAAATGCTGACCAACTGAGGAATGAATAGAAAGATGCGTTTTTATGCAATGGAGTACTACTCGCCTATAAAGAAAGATAAACTTGAGGCTTTTACAGGTAAATGGAAGTAACTGGAAACCATACTCATAAGTAAAATAAACCAGACTTGCATGCATATATACATTGTCTCCCTAGTGTAAGAAACTGGAAGAGTAAATAAAAAATCAAAAGCACAATAGACAGTGTGAAAGGGAAAGAAACAGCTCAAAAAAAAGAATAACTGGAATAAGGAAAAGAAGAAAAGAAAGTAGGAGAAAACATATATATATATATGTTGAGATAACTGTACTACTAATTTCTAATATTTCATTGACAGAAGTTAGTGCTCATATTGTTTGATAAATGCTACATGTCTGTGTCTTTTTAATCTGAGCACTGACTTTGAAGATAACAACATGCAATATAATCACCATTACTTATTCCCTAAAAGTAAAAATGGAGAAGGAAACTAGAAAAGAAATAGAGCAGTGAGAGGCAGATTCGATGAGGGATGTTAGCCTCGCCTAAAGGGAGGAAGACAAGCAAAGGCATGCGACGAATCGCGAAAGTTCATCTATTTCAATAATATCGTGGCACTAGTGATTGAGAAATGTTTAAATTGCACTCCATATTACTTAAGAGGCGCACACAAAATATACTTTCAAAAACCCTCATCAAAATCCAGAGCTGCACTTCTCTGTTTTGACCTTTGAATGGCTAACCTGGAAGAGACGTAGGTGAGCCTTCAGGCCTCAGCACTGCTTGAGGGACCCAGTGCCGGGCGTGCTGGCTGGTATAACTACTCAGCACTTAGGTGGAACGGGCTCGAGCTATATTCTATACCACTGTAACTTTCTAAGATCTTTAAGGTAATGAACAGATACCAATTCAATTACTACTGTGCTCTCTCTCAAGTAAATATTTGTTTACAAGAAGATAATAAATCAAAACAAGAGACAAGAAAGAATGTCATAGGATTGTCCTGCTACAATGTTGTATATGGTTAGATTTCTAAAGTTCTGTGTAAAAATTTTTAACTGTTTATTTCTATTTTTAGTATTTATTTTAATTTATTTATTTATTTTTAATTTTTTCCCATTCTGTATGGATCTAAAGTTTAGTATATCAACAACTGGTGGAAAATACCTGTTCCATGTTATGTCTAAGGCGTTTGATATTCAGCCAGACACTGATGTTAAGCTCAACAGCCTGTTTTAGGGTAATAATACCATTAGGCTTCTCGAATGAAGGATTTTTTTCTTTTTTTGGCTGGCTCAGGGTGCCTTAAGGGCTGGTCTGGTAAGGACTGACCATCTAGGGTGGAACCGCAGTATCCTGAGCCTCACTTCTTTGCTTAAGCAGGCACTTAAACAACTGAGCTAATGGGCAGGCTCCTAAGCTTCTCTTCTGGAGGGTTAACAACCTAAGTTTGCAGACCAAAAATCAGAGAAAAAGAAGGGCTACAAGGACAGCCAACATTGTGGTCCTTGCCCTTCAAGGTCAGTGAGGGCTCAGGACATAAGAAAATCTGTACTGTAAAATCCTGTAAACTCAGTCATGTCCCAAATTTTTCTGATCAAGGAGATAATGGGGCCAAAGAGGAAAGTGATTGATGATGTAGAGTGTGCCTAAGGAGAGTCACATGGAGAGACAACATTCTCTCAGGCTCCCACAGAGAGCACATTGGCCAAGCAATGGCCGTGACTCATCCACATGGCTGACACTGACAAAAGATCTACAAAATGCAGTTCAGGGTTTCAGGGTAAATCCTGAGGGGATTTGACTGACCTTGTCAGATACAACAATTGTTATATAGGTCTTGTTATATAGGTCTTGTTT